TCCATTTATAAAAGCGTTGTATATTAAAAAGTTTTTTTTATATTATTTATTTTCTACTTTTTAGTCCTGTCTGAATAAAATTTTGCAATAGATATTAAAATAATTCAACGATATTAATAGAAAGGTGCACACACATGCATTTACATATGTATGTACATACAAACGAGCACCAATTAATTTTATTTAAAGAATGACGTGTCGTCTATTTCCGCTGTAGCAAACGTAGTACATAGGGCGCCATCTAAATGTCATCTACCTCGCCCTATTCACTACAGCTATCGCCCTATGCACTACTTCACTACAGATGTCGCCCTATGCACTATGCTTTTTTATAGGAACTTTTCAAAGCAAAGCTTTATGGTGTCGGACACACAACATTGAAAGTTTCTGGAACACAACATTGCAAGTTGATAAAAGCGTTGTAAAAATAAATTCAACAGTTCTACATTTATATCTATATATATATATATATATATTTAATAATTCCAAATATAATTTAGTTAAATAACATATGACAGCCAATTGCGAAGTCCCTGTGTGTAGGGACTTGGGGGCTTCACAGTACCCATATCGGCGGGATTATCCTTGCTGCGGACATGTCGCCAAGTGGATTACTAGATCGATGATCTGCGATGTTCGATTGGAGACATACGTTTTCCAGGCGTGGGGTGGTCTTTCAAGCCATGTCAGGACAATTTCAGAGTCACACCACATAATCAATTTTAGTTTGGCGAGGTCAAGATGTGGTTGGACTACTGAGGCTAGTTTAGCTAACAGGAGGACTCCACATAGTCCTAACCGCGGTAAACTTATGGTTTTAAGGGGCGCAACTTTGCTCTTGAACATAGTGAGATGGGAGAAAATTCGGGTACTGACGGTGGTTCGAACATATAAGTTAGTTAATTTTGCGGGTGTAGTAGAACAAGAGACACCGCCACCTAAAAGAGCTTTTTTATCTCTTTAAAGGAGTCCCCAACCCAATGTGGCTAAGATTCCTTCGGCTTCCCTAATGAATCCTAAAAGGACCTGGGTGGACCAATTCCTAATAACAGAGGGTTCGACCATCGAAGATTTAAAACAAATTAATGTTTGATTGGCCGAAGCCGGACAGTTACAGAGAATATGCTCCGAAGTTTCATCAGCCTCGAGGCAGAGCCGGCATTCCGGTGCAAGTGGGATCGCAATTGGTTGTGACCAGTCAGATACCCAGAGAGTAGTCTGATGTCATTTTTATTCGCTAGGATAATGTCGTTTCTGTTAAAAGGGTAGCCGAAGAGCCTGGCCTGTCTAAGGCCCTCCACCGCTCCCCAGTACTTACTGCGTTCCGAGTGTACCCACTCAGTAATTATGGATATCGAAGAAGACTAACTGAGACCACAGAATGGTGCAGGTCCCGAAAAGGCAGTTAGCGATCCTTCACGTGCCAACTCACGTGCTATCTTGTGGCCTTCAATTCCGCTATGGCTTGGTACCCAGCACAGTTTTTTTGGCTGCCAAAACTTGTGGCCAACTTGAATTTGAGAGTCCTGTTTGAAAGGGCCCGGATGGCTGCTTGGCTATCTGAAGAGAATTTCGCGCAGTTTAAGATTGAGGATATTTCAGCCTGAAACACCGTGGGCCATTTGCCCATGGGAATTGCAAATTTGGTGTTAGGTCCAAAGATGCCTGCACCCGCTCTGTCCGCCATCCTTGAACCGTCTGTGTACCAGTGTAAATATCTGTGATCAAGGGCAGGGAGCCCGTTTCCCCAATCTTCGCGATCGGGGATTATGACTTGGAATTTTTTTGCCAAAACAGGCCTCCTTAGTCATGGAATCAGAGATTCCGCATGTTTCCAATCCTGGTATCTTCCCCAGAATGCCTGCATGAAGCTTCTTTACAAAGAAGCCGTCGTTAGATATTCAAAGTTGCAGTTCCCCGTGGCTGCTGTTTCCTGGATAAAAATATGGAGAGGATGGTGACGTATAGACATGCCAATCTTTGCAATTTGTTAAGGCGAAGTATGGCAGTTTTTTGCATTGTCTTTTGCCACCACGCTATGGATGCATAGGACACAATGGGACGGATGATCATACGGTAGAACCACTCAATCAGCCTTGAGCTCAAGCCCCATTTCCTACCAAAAAGTCTTCTGCAGGCCCACATGAGTCGTGTGGCTTTGGCAACCGTTCTGTCAAGATGGGAGTTCCAATTAAGTCTCTTATCTAGCGATATCCCCAGATATTTGACCTCATCGGAGTATTCGAGCACTGTACCTCCAAGAGTGACCCAACCAAGGTTCGGTTTATACCTTTTGTAAACGGTACCAGAACAGCCTTCCGAGAAACCGAGGTAGAATCCGTTGATTTCGCTTTAACATTCGCGAATTGTGCGTGATGTAAAGGAGTGAAAGTGTTAAGTCCCTCCCTAATATGGAGGTCTAAGGGTCTCTCTAAAGTTTTGAGAGTGAAGGAAGTTAGGCTAATAGGTCTGTATAATTTAGCCAACCCCCCTACTTATTATGAATTTGTACGATGCACGATAGACGCTTGCATTATGTTATTCTCTATTACGAATCGATGTGGTCATATGAAATCCGATTATTAGCTTAGCTGATTTATGCTGGTTCACAATAAGAAGTGAACAAAACCACAGCCATTCACAACAATACATCTGTCGGGCGTATGAATACGATGATATGAGAACTGATTTCATACGATACGCTTGCACGCGTTTATCGTCTATCGTATGAAAATTCATAATAGGGGGTTAAGTCAAGGTGCCTGTTGCCCGATTTTGGAATAAATAAACGGACACCTGCCTCCAAGCATACGGTATGTATTCCCAGCAATAACTAGCCCTGAATATACAGATCAGGGGATCAATTATATCCTCAATACTTTTTTGCAGTAGTGCTGTGAAGATCCCATCACCACCCGCAGCTTTGAAAGATTCAAAAGACTCTACCACCCACCGTACCATATCCCTGTCAAAGATGGAGCCAGATCATGCTCCACCAATGAGCCTGGGAAATGCACTTGGAGTAGTTGATTTAGAGTCTCCCTGTTATTATTTGTAAAGGTGCCATCTTGCCTCCTTAGCAGGCCTATCCCATTGGAAGACGCCTTTGATAAAATTTTATGCAGACGCGAGGCTTCAGGCAACGTTTATACTGTTTCACAATGTCGTCTCCATGAATCCCTCTTCAAGCGCCTCATAATCTTTTTATAGTAAGTGAGACAAGCCTTATACTCGTCCCACCGATGTGTCCTTTTGGCCTTGTTGAAAAGATTCCTGACAGGTTTGCGCTTGGCATCCATTTCCCCGTTCCACCAGGGAACCTTACGTTTCATCGAGGTGGAACAAGTAACTGTGCAGTTATGGAAGGATTCCAATAGAACTCTGTTAAGCAGATCCGCTGCGACCTCCATTTCGTCGATTGAGTCAATGGTGGTTAGCAACGAGTCTGCCCTAATGTTTACTAAGGTTTTGGAAAGGGCCCATTCAGTTTTCCTGGGCTGAAAAGTCAGGCCTCGAAGCTTAGATCACCCTGGGATCTCGAAGACTATGTGTTGATGACCCGAGAGCGATGCTTCTTCCGAGACTTGCCAATTCGAAATACAATCGGAAATTGATCTGCTGCAGAGAATGAGACGTCCCTGACGTCAGTAATAAATGTGGGTTTGCAACCCATTTTCGCAAAATCTATGTTATTTTGTAAAAGATATTCTAAAAGGTACTCACCCCATTCGTTGATATCGGAGCTGCCCCACACCATGGGGTGGGCATTCGCATCGCAACAAATAATGTACTGGCAATTTGTACGTCGACAGAATTCGACGAGCTGCTGCACCTCCAATGGTCCTCCAATGGTGGTATAGTGGGGACGTCACCAGAAAAGTAGGCGGATGCGAGGACAATTGCCTGCACCCCACCCATCGTCGACACCTCGACTACAGCCGCTGAAAGGGTATGGAAATAAAAGGAGTAAGAGGTGTGTTATTGACTTTGTCGTTAATTGAAATGGCGGCGCAGGGAGTAACCCCAAGCCGGTCGTAGATTGACCTACCTGAACTACCCTGTCATCTTACTTGGCCTCCGCTAAACCAAGGTTCTTGCAGCAGACCTATTGCGAATTTCCGTTCGCTGGCTAACCTATCAATTATGGCCCCCTTGGCATGATGTAGGTTAGCCTGTAGCACCCTTAAGATGCTAATTTCTTCCGCTGAAGCGACGCTTTAACGAGACACTCCTCTTTGTCTCGTCGGGACCCCTTTTCCCTGGCATCGCAGGTCCGTTTTGGTCGTACGGTAGTGGTGGGTTTGTTGATCCCTGAGCTGGTGGTTGTGGTATTCTACCACCTGAGTATGCTGAGGTGACACTCAGCAGAAATGGCTGGTGGGCTAATGCTGCAACTGCCCCCGTCCCGTTAAAACCCTGGCAGGCCTCAGAGTACGTTCCAACTCCCGTCGCCGTTAAGTTGGTGGTGTAGGTGCGGTTGAGATGGCTCCCGTCTTTGCGCTGGTCGGCTCTGAACACATGACCCCATAAGGGCATGTGTCAACCCTCGCCATAGTCTTGTCAGAGGTAGCTATGGGACCATTTTAAGGCGACTACACGCTCGGGTTTTGGATAGCGGCTCTGAGTGGGGACCCAGTGAAAAATGAAAAATGAAAACGCAAACACAAACAAAAACAAAAATAGCAATAAAATAAAAAAGAGTTCGAGCGGTGGCGGGGAGTCCAAACCGACCCCCAAAGCTGGCTCATCAGGGGGGGTTTCCGCACCACCCACGGTAGGCGAGGCGAAACCGCCCCGTCCTATCTATCGTATTTTTGGGGGGTCCTTAACGGAAAGTCCTTCGGGAGGCAATAGCGCGTCGGAGCCGACGCATGCAACTGTTTCTGGGGGGCAGGTGCTGTCACAAATGGGAGGGCAGAAGTGCCGGAACCGGCTTCTGCGCGGGTCTTTAGGCAGGGGGCAGGGGTGAGTGAGCGGGTAAGGGGGGTGCTTGGCGGAATCGCCAACACCAGTTCGGGCTCCTCACCTAGGGTCTTTACACAGGGGGCAGGGTTGAGTGAGCAGTTGAGTGGGGTGCTCGACGGAATCGCCAGCACCAGTTCGGGCTCCTCACCTAGCTTTCCTGGTGCGTCCTCGAAGGCTCCCCAAAAGCAGCCTACTGAAAATCCCAAACGGCAGGCTTCCTCGGGTCGAAAGGCGTACTCAGACAGACGCATGGCAACCAAGATTTTGGCACGCTACGGCGGTCAGGATGTTTCTCAGTTGTCTGAGAAATATGCTAAAACGCTCGAGTGGGCCAAAGGGGTGCTACGTGGTCTGGATGGCTGTACAAAGGGTTCGACCAAAGGAGATGCGAGTGCATCTCGTGCAGCCCCTAAGAGACAGAGGTCTCAAGAGGGAGAAAAATCAGGGGCAAAGAGACCTAGGACTGGGGGTGCACCTGTCCTGTTTAGCGAAATCGCTAAGCAGGCGGGATCAATTACCCTGGGGGTCATTGATAGAAGCAGGGAAGATGGCGCCATATCCAGGGAAAACTGGAGGCGCGTGGCAACAGCCATCTCCTCTGTCTTCTTAAGGGTGGTTAGAGGAAGCTCTGGACCACCTCCAAGATGCGAGAATGCTGGATGGCATCACGGCATCCATAAGAAAATTGTTTGTGCCGACGAACGGTCGGCTTCAATGTATAATTTTACCTAATTTCAGCAATGAGGACATTGTGACGGTTAGCTTGGAGGACGGCGCCAGAGAGCTCTGGCTTGTTTCCGCATATATGGCGCATGAGGACGAGGTGGAACCACCTCCACTATTGCTGCGTGAGACCATAGCCGAAGCGAGGAGACGAAAAGTCGATATTATCATTGGATCCGACGCAAACTCGAGGCACTCGTGCTGGGGAAGCTCAACAACAACGCAAGAGGTGAGTCTCTTTTTGATTATATTCTAAGTGAGGACTTAGGTATTTGTAATAGAGGTAACGAACCGACCTTTATCATTGCGGCCAGAGGTCCTCGACCTTACCCTTGCTTCGTCTTCTTTACTATCCCGTATTTCCGATTGGAGGGTTCTTCAGGATCACTCCTTCTCGGACCATAGATATATTCAGTTTTATCTGGACGAAGAACAAATTGGGACCTCTACAGCCAAAAATTGTGGGAACTACTCCCAGAGGCCCCTCCGGTAAACTTAAGCACTGAAATCTCGAATGAGGACTCGGTAGAGAAATTTACATCAGCCTGTAGGTGTGCCATTGAAAGCTCATGCCCGCTGAGCAGGCCCTTGGGCAAAGTCCGACCGAAATGGTAGACGATGGAGGTCTCGGAACTTAGGGCGTCGAGCAGGCGCCTTTTCAACAAAGCCAGGAAGAGTGGACAACACTCCGACTGGGAACTCTACAAGGTCGGACTGGGTATATATAAGTCCGAGATAAGAAAGGCCAAAACTGAGTCGTGGAGAAATTTCTGCGAAGTAGTAGAAGGTTGTCACGAATCATCTCGATTTAGGTGAATCCTTGCGAGGAGTCCTGTACCTTTGGGATTCTTGAGGGACGAAGAGGGAAACTGGGCCATGAGCGGAGGTGAGTCGCTTAAGCTACTCCTTGACACTCATTTCCCAGCAAACCCCACACCGTGTGAGCCTACCGGTTTCGGTACGGTTGGCTGCCCAACATTCTCCGGTGAACTACTGGAGAAACGCCGACTGCTTTGGGCGATTGACTGTTTCACGCCCTTCAAGTCCCCCGGACCGGATGGCATTATTCCTGCGCAGCTGCAAAATGCTGTCGAGGTCTCGTGTCGCTGGCTCACCCCAATCTATGCGAGCTGCCTAGAAAGGGGGTACATCCCGGGGGCCTGGAGGAAGGTGAGGGTCACCTTTATCCCCAAAGCAGGAAAAAGCTCTCATGTGTCTCCGAGGCACTTCAGGCCAATCAGCCTCTCCTCCTTCTTACTGAAGACTTTTGAGAGGCTCATTGACCTGTATATATGAAACAGGATTCCTCGAGAGCGATTGAGCCTCTCTCAGCATGCGTACATAAAAGGTAGATCCGTGGAATCTGCCTTGCACTCAATTGTTAAAGTCATAGAGGAGTATCTTAGGAACAAAGACTTTGTAGTCGGGGCCTTCCTTGATATCGAGGGGGCTTTTAATAATGTATTACCTGGGGCGATAGTAAGAGCGCTAACTAAGCTTGGAGTCGAGAGCCACTTAGTTGGGCTCATCTCTCGCATGTTGTACGACAGAACTGTCATAGCGGAATGGGGAAATGCCTCTGACCAGCGTAAAGTGAGCAGAGGCACCCCGCAGGGAGGCGTCCTTTCCTCCTTTCTCTGGATAGTCGTAATAAACGACATCTTGGAGGAGTTGAAAAGGAGAGGATACCGGGTTATTGCCTACGCGGATGATGTGGCCCTCATCGTCAGGGGAAAGTTCCTGGACACTCTGTATGATCTCATGAAAGGGTATCTGAATTTGGTCACAAACTGTTCTTCTAGCTGTGGACTTGCTATAAATCCTGGAAAGACGGAGCTCGTACTATTCACCAGGAGGTATAAAGTGCCTCATGCCCTCGATATGAGGTGTTTCCCTTGTTCTTTCTGACAGGGTCAAGTTCCTGGGCGTGATCCTGGACAGGAAGTTATCATGGAAGCCTAACAATAATAATAATAATAAAAAAAGGCATCAGTGGCTCTCTCCAAAAGTGATATATTGGCTGTATGAAACCATAGTGAAGCCAATCATGTTATATGGGGCCAT